AACATATGATCAGTTGCCAATTCAAACCCATAAAAATTGCTGTTTAATGTACCACTTGATATATTATATATTGACTTGTCTATCTTCAGTCTCTCCCACTAGAACACAAACCCTATGAGAATTTTGCAAAATTGTCCACTGTTCTATCATCAAAACCAAAGTAGTAACTGATAAAACAATATAATATATACACATACTTATTTATATTTTGAACAGATTAACCAATAAAAGAATAAAAGAAAGAAAATGCAATAAAAAGTAAGCACAGAGAGATAGGAAGAAATCCAAAGAGTCCAGAAAGAAGATGTGAACAGTCAACTATATCATGCTGCAAAGGGACTGAATATGATAAACAATGCAAAATATTCATAATGTTTGAAAATTGAGAAGTTATTAGTAATCTTGGAGAAAGCAAGTGTTGTCAATGCAGTGAAAAAATCAAGCTAAGTTGCTAAAAATAAAAGCAGTGAATAGTATAGAAGTCAAGAGTAATTTTTAAAGAATAAACTGAATGCCTAGAAAAATCAATTAGAAACAAACTAAAATACCAAGGGGGAAAGTTAGCATGTTTTTATAAGTAGTAAATCACTTACCAATTCCTTGTTGTGATGAGGGAGGATTTAGATTTCCTTCAGAATGATGTTCATTAAGCTGGAAAATAATTTCCATGAAATATTACTTGTCAAACCAGTAGAAAAACATACATAGTATTTGCATTTGAATCCAAAGCCTCTTCTAATATGCAGCATTAGAGTAAGCATATAGCAATATTCTATACAGCATACTACTGTACTTTTTTTAAAAAAAAAAAGTTGTATTTTTAGGCTGGGGATGTAGCTCAGTGGTACAGTGCTTGCCTAGAATGTGTTAGGCCCTGGGTTCAATCTCCAAAACTAAAGAGAAGTGTCTTCAAAAGCTGTCATTTACTTATTAAAATAAGGCCTACTAATTTTACTATACCAATAGATAAAGAATTAATAGGCAATATGTATTGCACTAAGGATAATTCCTACTTCAGGATCTTACTTTAACATAAAATTCTAATAAAACTTTTGCTTGATTCTAAAGGCCTTTAACAAATCAGGGCCTTAGTACTGCTTTTCTGACTTATATATAAAAGTAAAAGGATGCTGACAGTTTCATGTCCATTCAGATAAAATTTTGCTGCCAAAAAAAAAAGTCTATTTTCTCAGTAAGATGGGCTTTTAAAAATGTTTTCATGATGGCTTAGTTTTTTGTCCTTTTTTATCTTAATATTACCATATGACCATGTTGCTATTCTTCTGAAACATCTTTGTGGCAGTATAATATTCCTCCATATAGACATACCATACTATTTCAATTATTCATTTATTTTGAACATTTAGGTTGTTTTGATTTTTCTAATTATAAACATCACACTTAAAACATTTAAGCACAGAATCATATTTCTTTAACAATTAATAAGAAAAACTGTTTTACCACAAATTATGTAATTTAATTTTCTTTTTCAGGAGACTATTCACCAAATGGATTTTCCCATTTCTATACTGAGGTAGTAATTTAAGTTCTTTTTTTAATTTTTTAAAATTTTTTTAATATTTATTTTTTAGGTGTAGTTGGACACAATGCCTTTATTTACTTGTTTTTATGTGGTGCTGAGATCGAACCCAGAGCCGCACACGTGCTAGGCGAGTGCTCTACCGATGAGCTACAACTCCAGCCCAGTAATTTAAGTCGTAATATAATAAAGATGTTAATTATCTTTATACTTTTATCATATTGCCTGTCCAATTTTTTCACTTGGAAGTCTGAATGCAATTAACTTAATTGCTTTTTCTTTTGGTTCTTCTTCCACTGCTTTTATGCTTTGAGCATCCATCCTTCTGAGGTCTAGTAAATATTAACTTATATTTCCTCTAAAGTATTTTATGGTTAATATTTTTTCATTTATTTTAATTCATCTGTAATTTACCGGTGTACAGTGTAAGCTGAGTGTCTAATTTATCCCTGTGTGGTCCCATCTTTATCATATTCTAAATTCTTTTGTATCATGACTATTTAACCCCTACCAAATACCATTCTTTCAATCCTTATATGACACCATTTTGATTACTCTAAGTTTATATAGGATGTTTTAATGTGTAAAAAGTGAAGTTCCCTTCACCAATCTATTTCATAATATATAGGATTTGTAATGATATTCTTTCATGTTTAATAACTATCTTTCCTTCTCTGTCAATCTAGATGGGAATGTATCAATTCTGTCAATTATTTTAAAGTACAATCTTTGGTTTTGTTTATTCTTATTTATTTATTTGTTCTATTTCAGTTATGTAGTCTTTTTTATTTCTTCATTCTACTTACTTTGGATTTGCTTCAATACTCTTTTTCTAGTTTCTCAATATAGGTCATTAAATCTTTCCTCTTTTCTATTAATGTAACTATTTAAGTTATTAACTAACTAAATTATTTAAAGTTATAATTTTGCTCTGGCTTTGGCAGCATCCCACAACTTTTGATAAGCTGAATTTTCATGATAATTCAGCTCAAAATGTTTTCTGACTTCTCTCATGATTCATTCTTTGATTCATGACCTACATATTTACGATTTTTCTAGATATCTTATTGTTACTGAGTTCTAATTTAACACACTCTAATTCCAATGCTTTTAAATTCCTTTACTCTTATTATGACCCATAATATAGTTGATTTTGGTGAATGTACTATTAGCACTTGAGAAGAACATGTATGAGGCAGTTGTGGGATACAGTGTTTAATAATGGTATAAGGGATTGATGCTGTATACAGATATTACAGAAGATCTGATTGTGTTGTGTGATTCTATCAATTGCTGATAAAAGGGTATTAAGAACTTCCAACTATGCCTGAGTATTTGACAACTTTGATTTTATGTATATTGGAGCTGTTATTAGGCATAGTTACACATTTGTGATTGTTGTATCTTCCTTATAAAGTGGACTTTTTACCATTCTGAACTATTTCTATCTTCAGTAATACTCTGAATCTCAAGGCTACCAAAAATGGTATCAATATAGCCATCATGACCATTTTTTTTAGGGAGGGGAGTACCACGGATTGAACTCAGGGGCATTTGACCACTAAGCCACATTCCCAACCCTATTTTATATTTTATTTAAAGACAGTGTCTCACTTAGTTGCTTAGCACCTCACTGTTGCTAAGGCTGGCTTTGAACTTAAGATTCTCCTGCCTCAGCCTCCCGAGCCAGTAGGATTACAGGTGTGCGCCACTGTATCTGGCAGCCCTTTTTATTTTTTATTTTTAAAACAGAATCTCACTGAATTCTCAAGTCTGGCCTTGAACTTTCTATTTTCTTGCCTCAGCCTCCCAAATAGCTGGGATTACAGGAGTGCACCACCACATTCAATTTATATTTCTTTTTTTATGTATTCTTATAGTTTCTAACTTTTAATGGAGTATTTAAGCCATTCATATTAAAAAAATCACTTAAAAGTTCATGATTAGGTCTAACATATTGCTATTTATGTTTGTTCCCTTGTTTTTTGTCACTCCATTCCTTCTTTTTTGCCTTCTTTTGGATGAAACTTTTTCTTAGAATTCTATTTTAATCTATCACCAATCTTATTTTTGAAAATGTTCTTGCTTATTCTTGAATACACCTCTCCCAGGAGACATAGTAATTATTTGGTCAATCTCCTTCCCCAGCTCAAAAACAAAACATAACAAAAACTAAAGACATCTTGCCAGGACTTTAATTAGATCCATAATGGATTACATTTATAAATGTAATTTTGAGAGGGAATTTATCTTTATAATATTTTCTTTCTAAACAAGGACATCATGTTATATATTCAATAATTTTCAGTAGTTTTCTGTTTTCAAAATGTACATGTCCCCTGATGAGGTTATTTATATACACTTATTTTAATATTCATAGTATTACTGTAAATAAGAATTTAGTAACTCTAATCTATTTTTCTAGTGCACTTTTCTAGGGATTACTAATTTTTTGTTGTTGTTTTTTGGGGTGCTGGGGATTGAACCCATGACCTTGTGCATGTGAGGCAACACTCTACCAACTGAGCTATATCCTCAGCCCCACTAGTTTTTGAAATAAGTATTTAAGTAAAATTGAGACGAAAGTTAAAAGAAACAAAATATGAAATGTATACTACTATATCATCAACAAATTTATAATTTCAGCAACTTAATACAGTGCAAGGAACACAGTAATAAAAATTCTAATAAATATAAAAAATGGCTAAATGTGACTAATTTAAATAAGTAATAATACTTATATTACATTGATATTTATATGGTATTATTAAGTGATTGAAACTTTTCTAAATGTTTTATGTGCATAAACTCACCTAAATATTTACAAACCTTATGGTAATAATTATTTTCATTTTACAGATAAGGAAACTGAGAGTTACCCAAAATCTTACATATAATATATACCCAAGTAATCAGGCTTCAGTGTCTAGTTTTAACCACAAATTTATATTGTCTCTACTTTTCAAATAAAGCATGTCTTAATTTGGGGGCTTAATTACTAAATACAGAAATAAGCACTTCCACTGAACAGTAGCAATGTTGATGCAGGAAATTCCTTAGGTCTTTTAAAATGAACCAATGATAATGTTGCCATGTACACACACATAGTTGAAAAGACAAAACATGAAGCCATGTAAAGTTTGTTTTCAGAATATGTAGTTTGTTTAGTAGGCACATTAATTAAAAAGACAAATTCATTTCAAATTGCCCTTAACTGAAATTTAAATCATCCCTATCTTGAAATTTAAAAAAATAAATACAGTGAATTTGGGGCATCTAAAGTTAAGAGCAAAAAGATAATAGGGAACTTTGCTATACTACAGCTACCCAGAATTTTTTTTAAATTGCCTTTACTGGTACTCTGTCCCAGGATAGTTTGGTACTAAGCAAATAAAATTACTCCAAAGTTTCAGTGTACAATTTTTAGAAATCAAACTTTAGTTTCTCATTTTACCTGATCTGATGAAATTTCTGAATCAAATACAGAAGAATCAAATAAATTCAATCTAGGTGATCTAGAAGTATAACTTGTAAGAAATGAAAATCCAGAGGACTCTTTTTGTGTTTGACCTTCAGGTACTGCATTTCTGTTACAAAGAGATTTTTAAAAAATCATCAAAATGTTAAAAATCTATCACCAAACACTGAAGATTGACCACAAGCAATGTCATGGGGGTAAAAATTAGCATAGAAGGGAAGGTAGGAAGTAGTTATTGAAGCAACCTATAAAGAAAAGATGGTTTGGGAGGAGACTAATATGGAAAATCAACTTTGGGATAATTATTATGAATATCTACTCAGAATATACTGTCAGGCACTCTTCTAGGTACTTCCATAAGCATAACTTATTCCTCATAATAACTCTATAATACAGATATTATTTCAGTCACTTTAATTTTACAGTAAAGGATTTTTAAGCGTAGAAAATATAAATGATTTGCTCAAAAAAATACAGTAGAGTTGAGAATTGAATTCAGCACTTCAGATTCAAAGTCCAAGCTCTTAACCCCAACATGGTCTTCAAGATCTTGAAAGTCAGTAACAAGCTGTGTCTATTTTGTTTTTAAATATATATATATATTTTAGTTTTTGATAGACCTTTACTTTATTTATTTATCTGCAGTGCTGAGAATTGAACCCAGTGTCTCACACATACCAGGCAAGTGCATTACTGCTGAGCCCCAGCCCCAGCCCCAGCCCTAACAAGCTATGTCTGGATTAAAAGGCAGCCATTACTAAGTGTCATATCAGGGAGTTAAACAGTAAAATGATCGGGAAAAAATAGACAATACAATGTGTAACACATTGGTTAGGAGAATGGATTCTAAAACCAGAACTACCTGGGTTTAAAATCTCAACTCTAACATTGATTACTTGTATTACCTATAATTATGTTTTCTCATTTATAAAATAATGATAATAATGTACCTAAAATGTATAAGATTGTTGTGAATATTAAATAATCAATATTAAATGGTCTAAAGTGCTTATAACAGTGGCTCACAGATAGTGCTACATAAGTGTTTTTAAAATATAATAGGGGCCAGAGGAATAGCTCAACAGAAGATTAAGTACTTAGTATTCACAAGGCCTTGGAGACAATTCCAAATACCAAAAAAGAAAAAACACGTGTGTGTGTGTGTGTGTGTGTGTGTGTGTGTGTGTGTATGAAGTGTAACAATACTTCCATAAACTATCTCTATGACCATGAATGAGTCATTTAACTTTACAGATCATAATTTTCTCATCCATGGAGAGAAGTTTTAGCATATAATCTGATATTCCTTAATAATTCTAAGATTTGAAGTTGAGTTTCACTTTAAACATGCTGTGCTTGAGTCAACAGCATAGTATTCATATATAAAACTTATTCTAACAATTTAAAATACAGAAGTAGGATATAGGTGAGATATCCCTGATAAAGTGAAATCTATCTAACATATTTTGGAAAAACCTCAGGGATCAGTATTAAGGAAGAGACTGAACTAAAGAAAATGTTTAAAGGTAGCACTATTTTCTTGAATGCAAACCATATATCTATAGTTTTCAAAGATAAATATTCATGTTAGAGATATTTATGCCTAACTAGCTTACTAAGCAGAATGGCAATTCTTGCTTCAGACACTATAACATGTGGGAAAATGACTGCTGGAACATTATTCAATGATAAGCCCACAATCTTCCAAATATGGCAGTAGCTCTTTAACATTTTAAATTTCTCCACAAAATTTAACCCTTTGGAAAATTTTAAATCTATATAGTATTGCGCTGGGTAAGTACTCAGGATCTATATCATCTTCAGATAAACGCTGCAGGAAAAATGGGGAGGAAGACCTGTGAAACAAGAACAGCAGAACATTAATAATTCAAACAGGATGATAGGTACTTGGAAGTTCATTATGCTAGTTTTTACTTTGCATGTCTGAAATACTCTATACTAAAAAAAACTTTTTAAAGTTACAGGCATAAGTCATTTTACTATTCCTATCAATTTTATATGACTCAATACATAATTTACTTATAATTATCAATTAAAGTCCTACATTTCAAATGAGGGAGCTTTAGGAAACTGCATTTTCTCCAAAGATTCATGTGTATTCATAGCTTCAGGAGTTTTTAAAAATATAGGAATTTCAGGAGTTGGTGGAAAATTCTCAGGCCTTTCTTCTACTTCATCACTATTATCTTCTATTGACATTCCAAAATGTTCTGTATGTATAGACTGCAAATTCAAAGTAATAGAAAACTAAAAATGAATGTTGTTGCAGTAACAGAATGACATATATAAAAATGCACAAGACAGAAAATACCATACTAATCAATAGTCATTTCACAGATAAGTAAAATAAGAATAACTGGAAAAGTGATATTAAAATACACATTCAAACAATAATTATTTTAATTATTAATTTTTTCTTTTCTTTACAGCTCCATCTTACTCATCCCTACTTGAGAAAAGTATAACAACCAGAAAATACTGAACTTGATAAAGAATAATGTTTAGGACTGTAGTATAGATGAAGAACTGTATATACTAACTCCTTGAAAGGAAAGAGTAATTTGGGTCTGACAAAAAAATTTAAATGTACTTATTATTTGTATTTCCTTACAGAATACTACTACTATATTGTTTCTCTTATTTAAACCCTTAGTATCTAGGGTAAAGTTTAAAATATATTGTCTACATCTATCATAATTAAAGCTTCCCACTATTCAAAAATACTTTTAAGACATTTTTATGGCAATTACTGGTCTTGGACTGCCACAACAAATCATTTAATCTTACCAAATTGTAGTCTCAATATATATCAGCACTTAGTTTTTTTAAATTTTAATTTATCAGCCCTTATTAATGAAAAATTTTTGCATATTTATATATAAACTTTTTGTGGATTTTGGTTTTTGTCTTGTTCTATTTTCTTAGTGGTGCTGGGAATGTAACCCAGTGTTTTAAGCATGCTAAGCAAGCACTCTACCACTGAGCTATACCCCCAGTCCTTTTGGCTTTTTTTGTTTGTTTGTTTTGTTTTATTTTAATTAGTTATAAATGACAGGAGAATGCATTTATGCACTTTGATATATTATATATAGATGGGACATAATTTCTCATTTTTCTGAGTGTATATGTTGTAGAATCATATTGGTCATGCATATATCTGTTTCATTCTACTATGTTTCCTATCCCCACATCCCCTCCCCTCTCCTCCCTTTACTTCCCTAAGGTAATACTATTCTTCTCTCATGTTTTTGAATCTGAAAAATAGAATCTGTAACTTCCTAGAAACCTGATTACCAACTAATAAAATCTCACATAAACAATCTTTATTGCACTAAATCCAAAATTAAAATGGACACAAAATTTTAAAATTAGAATGGTCAAATCAAACATTTGACTTACTTGTGAAGTGCATTTTGATTCTCTTAATTGTCTTACTGTCCCTTTTTCTCCACACTCAGCATCTGTTACATGAGAACAAACTGTTTTTCTTTTTGCAATTTTATTATAAAATAAAACACATTAGTTTAACCATATGAAATTGCCAATATTTAACTGTTAGTCTACCAAAATGGCAATTTCATGTTTCAATCCAATATATACAAATAAGAGAATAAAATATAATATAAACAGTTTAACAAACAAAATTATAAAGAGAACACTCATGTAACCACATCAAGTAAAGAAATAAAACATCACAAGCACTCCAAAAGGTCCTATATTCTCCATGTCCTTCTCTCAGAGGTAATCCCTATCCAGACTTTTGTGATAATTTTTTCCTAATTTGTTATATATGGTTTTATCATCTAAATAATATATCTTATTTTCCTGTTTTAAAATGTTATATCATGAAATTAAATATGTCCTATCTCTTGCTTTTGTTTACTTTCTTTGTTTGAGTAATATATGCTTGTGAGATTCATCCATTCTGTAGTACATGACATAGTTTTCTTACTGATATAAAGTATTCCATTGCACAAACAGGACATTATGTATCTATACATTCTATTGCAAATGGGTATTTAGGATGTTTCACATTTAAAACTATTACAAATAATAACATTCTTTACTGATACTATTGTATTATATACTTGTATTTCTTTAAGTATACGTCTAGAGGTGGAATTATGAGGAATAGAGTATGTGCATTTCTCAAGACCAGATGCCAACCTTTTCTAATGTAGTTGTACTAATTTCCACTGTGACAACTAGCCACCTTGGAAATCTATTCAATCTCATCAGACAAATTAGCCCTAATTTATTAAAGACAATTCCTACCAATAGTTTGAAAGTTCCTATTGTCCTGTATTCTCATCAAAACTTAATATTGTGAGACATTTGGAATTTTGCTAATTCGGTAAACATGTAATGATAACTCAATGTGGGTTTTTTTTTTCCAGTTCCATGATTTGCTGAGTATCTTTTCGTGTTTATCTGCCACAAACGTTTCTTTGTCTTTTAAAAATACCTAGTCATACAGCCACATAAATGTTTATAGCAGCACAATTCACAATAGCTAGAATGTGGAACCAACCTAGATGCCCTTCAATAGATGAATGGATTAAAAATGTGGCATTTATACACAATGGAATATTACTCAGCACTAAAAAATAACAAGATCATGGCATTTGCAGGCAAATGGATGGCATTAGAGCAGATTCTGCTAAGTGAAGTTAGTCAATCCCAAAAAAACAAATGCCAAATGTCTTCTCTGATATAAGGGGGGTGACTCAAATGGGATAGGGAAGAAGAGCATGAGAAGAAGACTACCACTAAATACAGAAGAGAGGTGGGAGGGAAAAAGAGGGAGAAGGGGAGTTGCACAGAAGATGGAAGGAGAACCTCATTGTTATACAGAATACATATATGATGTTGTAATGAGAAAAAGAAAAAAAAGTGTGTCACATTAGATTGGATAGAGAGAAAGGATGGGAGAGGAGGGGAGGAGTAAGGAGGATAGGAAGGGCAGCAGAATAGAACTGACAATATGATTGATGTATGTACATTCCATGTATGTATTATATGTCAAAATTCATTCTGCTGTCATGTACGACTAAAAAAATAAAGAAATAAAGAATTAAAAGCATAAAAAATGATCAGGGGGCAGAAGGTGATGAGAAAATAAAATAAAATACCTAGTCATATTTTGCATATATTTCTAATTGGGTTGTCTTTTTCTTCTTTTATAAAAGTTCTGTATATACTTTCAAATTACTCTTCTGAGAGCTTTCTGTATTGCAAATATATCCTCTGGCTTGATGATGCACCTTATACTCTTTTAGGGTATCTTTTGATAAACAAAAATCTTAATTTTAATGTGGCCAAATTCATCAATTTTTCTTTTATGACTGGGCTTTTTAATTCCTGTTTAAGAGATCTTTCCCTATATTGAAGTCATGACAATATTATTCTATCTGATCTTCTGAAAGCTTTCTTGTTTTTGTCTCCTGCATTTAAATAAAAATTACTATTTTCATTACATATTAATTTCTTCAAATTTTGGGTCTAAAGATTATTGAAATAAATATTTTTATTTCAAAATAATTATATGACTTCTTGTGTATGAAGCCTCACCATATATACTCTACAACAGGTAGAGTTATGCCAATTATATGCAGTTCCCTGCATTGTTTGATTAATTATTTGTCCTTGTTTAACACTGTTGGCTTGGTATATAGAGAGAATTATAAATAGCTAGAACAGATCACCAGTACAGGTAAGATAAGTTTTTATCTTAGAAGAAAGCAAGGAGACTATTCATTTATGTACAATAAACATATTGTGTTGGATCTCCTAGTAAGAGTAAGAGAAAAAGACTCTAAGTATATAATCGTTCTAAAATTCATACATTAACAGAATTTTCCTGGGATCAGAAAAAACCATCTTTAAAACTTCAAAATAAAAGTCAATAATCCAAGAAGAAGAGAAAAAGACTTCCACATGGCATAATAAATTAAATAATTATTGTGAATTACTAGATTACCAAAATATGTATGCATGTATGCACTTAATATACAATATATACTCACGTTTATATTTATATATTCATGTATACATGTATATACATAACTATACAAACATGCATATTGAAATGTATATGGAGAGAAAGAAAAATAAATTAGTATTTTCAAAGATATGAAGTTTCAATAGCTAGCTCATTTGAGAATAATAAATTCGTGCATATATACTGTGATCTTTCTGTGACTTTATTCAAAGAAAATTGTCCAAGATAATAATATATCAATGCAAAAATATAATAACATTATTTCTAATAGTAAAAAACAGGAAATCAAAAAGAATTCAATGTGAAAGAATGGCTAAATAATGGCATATCCACACAATGGGACATTATACATTCATTACTAATAAAAACTAATTAATGACATGTAGAAATAACCTCAATAATTTATCATGAAGGAAAAAAGGATGCAAAATTATATACATAGTATAATTAAAATTTGGAGGGTAAAAGAACAAAACAAACATACACATAGAAAAAAAAGACTAAAAGAATATACACTGGTATGTATCATGTCCATTATTTCTGGTAGTAGTATTTTTTCATTTATATTTTTTTGTATTTCAAAATTTCTACAATAAAATACATTTATTTAATATTTAGAGGGAATACGTTTTAAAACCAGGCATGCATGGTCAATTATACAGAGATGTAAACAATCCAAATAATTCTAGTATAAAAAGCTGATGTAATTTATTACCCTTATTTATTAGGAAAAATATGAATAGCAAATACCTGTTTGTCTTTTTTCAAACCACTGATTGTTGTTGGATCGTTTCTGAGGAGTTAACAATCTAAAATGCAATGCATATAGTTTTTATATTATTTTGAATTGATATTCACAAATTTCAGAAATTAAAGTTTTTTTATTGGGGACAGGTAGGGGGGGGATTGAAACCAGGACCTAGCAGCATGCCATGTAAGTCCTCTACCACTGAACTACATTCTCACCTCTTAAGAATTTTCTTATGACCCAGCTATTCCCCTTCTCGGTCTATTCCCTAAAGACCTAAAAAGAGCATGCTACAGGGACACTGCTACATCGATGTTCATAGCAGCACAATTCACAATAGCTAGACTGTGGAACCAACCTAGATGCCCTTCAATGGATGAATGGATAAAAAAAATGTGGCATTTATACACAATGGAGTATTACTCTGCATTAAAAAATGACAAAATCATAGAATTTACAGGGAAATGGATGGCATTAGAGCAGATTATGCTAAGTGAAGCTAGCCAATCCCTAAAAAACAAATGCCAAATGTCTTCTTTGATATAGGAGAGTAACTAAGAACACAGTAGGGTCGAAGAGCATGAGAAGAAGATTAACATTAAACAGGGATGAGAGGTGGGAGGGAAAGGGAGAGAGAAGGGAAAATGCATGGAAATGGAAGGAGACCCTCAGAGTTATACAAAAGTACATACAAGAGGAAGTGAGGGGAAGGGGAAAAATAATATAAGGGGGACAAACGAATGTCAGTAGAGGGAGCAGAGAGAGAAGAGGGGAGGGGAGGGGAGGGGGGATAGTAGAGGATAGGAAAGGCAGCAGAATACAACAGACACTAGTATGGCAATATGTAAATCAATGGATGTGTAACTGATGTGATTCTGCAATCTGTATATGGGGTAAAAATGGGAGCGCATAACCCACTTGAATCAAATTGTGAAATATGATATATCAAGAACTATGTAATGTTTTGAACAGCCAACAATAAAAAATTTAAAATAAATAAATAAATAAATAAATAAATTACCTGAACTGCATAAAATTTTGTGAACTTTTAATAGCAGTAACATGTGAACATTTTGAATTGTTATTCACACCAGAATCATTAAATACCTGAAAGAAAAAAAAAAGCATTAGAACTGACTACATACGATGTGGGGAGAAACGTACACTCATACATTGCTGGTGGGACTACAAATTGGTACAGCCAATACGGAAAGCAGTATAAAGATTCCTTGGAAATCTGGGAATGGAACCACCATTTGACCCAGCTATCCCTCTCCTCAGTCTATATCTAAAGGACTTAAAAACAGCATACTACAGGGACACAGCCACATCAATGTTTATAGCAGCACAATTCACAATACCTAAACTTTGGAGCCAACCTAGATGCCCCTTCAGTGGATGAATGGATTAAAAAAAATGTGGCATATGTACACAATGGAATTTTACTCACCATTAAAAGAGAATAAAATCATGGCATTTGTAGGTAAATGGATGGTGTTGGGGAAGATAATGCTAAGTTAAGTTAGCCAATCCCTAAAAACCAAATGCTGAATATTTTCTCTGATATAAGGAGGCTGACTCATAGTTGGGTAGGGAGGGGGAGCATGGGAGGATTAGATGAATTCTAGATAGGGAAGAAGGGTGGGAGGGAAAAGGAGGGGGCAGGGGATTAGCAAGGACGATGGAATGTGATGGACATCATTATCCGAAGTACATGTATGAAGACTCGAATTGGGTGTCAACATACTTTATATACAAACAGAGATACGAAAAATTGTGGTATATTGTATATTACATGTGACTGAGTCACACTCCCTGACTGGGTTCTGAGGCGCTCAGTCACAGAAATGTGGCAGAGCTTTCCCCACCCTTCTTGGGTTCGAGGGACAGTGTCTTGTGCATGGGTGTGTCTTGTTACAGCCCCATGGGTGAAGCTATGCTCACCTGTTCCTTTGTAATATAACCCCTTGCCCTGTTTAGGATAGAATCTTCCATGGAGGTGTCTTATGTGTCCCCTTCTCTTACTGTGTCCTTGGGTGTGACCTACCCAGGTGTCAGTCAACCTGCTGACAGTGGACATCATGAAGATAGACTCAGCCACCTAAAACCTGACCCCTTGCCTCATTTGAATAGCTTCTCCTCAATAAAAGGGGTCAGCATGTGCTCTCGCTCTCTCTCTTCCTGCAGACCCTTAAGGTCAGAGAAGCCGTCACAGCAACCCCAAAGAAAAAGGTATTTGTGTCTCTTGTGTGGTTATTTTGCGCAGCCCAGTCTGCCCAGTTTAACTGGAGTAAACCCTGAGCATTTTAGTCTCGAGAACAGAAACCCAGCAATATATATGTGTAATAAGAATTGTAATGCAGAAAAAAACAAAAAACAAAGTACATGTAAAAAGGCATGAATTGAACATACTCTATATACAAAGATATGAAAAATTGTACTCTATATGTGTAATAAGAATTGTAATGCATTCCGCTGTTGTGTATTTAAAAAAATAAAATCAATAAAACTAAAAAAAAACCAATAAACATTTGCTAAAGCTATACAAGGTTCTCTCATTTCATTAGCATTTCAACCTTATTATCATCATTAGCAATATAATGCTTATATACATTAACTGAAACTACTACATATAAAACATACAAATACTGGAAAACAAATTCAAAACCCTCAATGAATTTGATGTTTATCATAAATATAATAACTATTTTTATAACAGTTAAGGTAAATCTTTTTAAAATTTATTCCCTTTATATTATAACTAATTTAAGAAAATCTTGCCATTTCTCAATTGATGATCTGCTCTGTGTCCCTCTCTCCTCTAAAACCTTTGAAACAGAATACAGAAAAGTAAAACAACAAATTAAAAGATTAAAGCCTGAACTTTCTTTTTTACATATGAAAGAGCTAATACTTCATTTTTAACTTTAAATAAAAATTATTTTATATTAACATGTAAGCCACTGCTTTATTATGTTCATTTACAGCCTTTAATTTTCCCTAAAAATATCTGGCTTAAATGGAAAGTTTATTTCATTGTTTTTGTTATGACAGATGTTCTGTCAATTTTTGCTTTGCATAATTTGGTGCAACATGGTTTTTATGATTTCTCAATGAACTGTTCTCTTTAAAAAATATGAAATATATTTATCCTTGCTAATGTTTTTCATCTTGAACTCCATTTAATATGACATTGTTATTTCTATATATTGTTATATTTGCTTTTTGTTTGTATTTGCCTGATACATACTCTCCATTTTTTATTTTTAGCCTTTATTTGTAAAATTGTTTCAGCTATTTTGTTTTAATAGTATGTAACTGTATTTTTAAAATATATCCCATACAAGTACCTCTGTCTTCTAATAGTGGTTTAACCCAGTCAGATTTTTATGATTGTTTATCTGTTCAGAACTTTTTCCAGCATCTTGTTTGTTTTCTATCTAAATGCTAACTGTTGTTTCCACTCTGTTGACCTAATTTTTATCTTTTTTCTTCTACTTTTAAAAAATTTACACCTTTCATTTCTCTTCTGATGATTATCTTAAATATTTGACATACAAACATAAATTTACATTTTTCCAGCAATGTATAGTTAATCAGCATTTATATTTTCTCCCTACATCTACTACCCCTCCACCACCAAAAACTTAAAAACATCGGTAAACATTTATTTTCCTCATTTATCTACCTTCATCCCATATTAAAATCATCTGTAATTTTAGATTTCTATAATACATATTTAGACTTAAGTTTCATTTTAGTGTCTGTGTGTATTAATTACAAATCGGTGAAAGGACAAATATTTTTTCCATTGAGGAATTCCCTCTTCACTGTTTTCAAGGAAAAATAAAGATGTGCAATATCAGCAGTTAGTTATTTGGTTGGTGTAGTCCTTATTTTTCACAGGCATCAAGAACCACCCAGGACACGAGCCAGTTTCTCTTACCCATGGCTCCCCTACTCACTGCTTCCACCTGGAGTCAGTCATCCCATTACTGAGGCTGACCAAAGGCAAAGTAGAGAAACAAAGATGAACATGAGTTAAGTTACTTAACTCCCTCTGAAGGAGTCCAACAAATTATCCTATTGATTGTCCCTGGATCTCTATTTCGTTAACAGAATTCTCCTATGCATGTCCCAGGTTATAATTTCCTTCTTCAATCCAATCAGTGTTTCCTCTTCCAGAGATTTTTCAAGTTTTTGATTTACTAGATACAGGGCTTGGTATTTTAAAATATTTTTTCCATTATTTTGAAGGCAATGGAGCAGATTATGGTCTATATTCAGAATGTCATATTCAAATTTAAATTTTTTTAGATCCCAAAGGTTATGCTAATGGCTGATTTAATATATTTATAACACACACCTGCACACACACATCTCTGTCTCAAGTGTAGTACATTACTCTCATTTAACAAAAGCAAGTATTTAATCTATATTATTTAAAAAGAAATACCTACTTGTGGGTCTTTTTCCTTTTGTCTGAAGTCAATATTGGCAAGCTTTGACTGCTGCATAGAACTTTCTTCTTTTTTATCTAGGTTATTAAATAATACTATTTAAAATAAATTCTGAAGATAGAATCAAACATCATTTCTGACTTTTTTCTCATACTGAGGACTGAACTCAGGGCCTTATGCACACTAAGTTTGCACTCTACCACTTAGCTACAACCCTGGCCCTCATCTCCACCATTTAATCTAACCTTATCATTCAGACAATCGAGCCTATATGAATATTAAATTTAAATTTAAATACACAATTTTTAAACATCAAATCTCTTAATTTATCACTCTATATTCACTATTATAGCAATTAAATATGAAATGATAAAATGACCAACTGACAAAACTGTATCTTTAGAATCAATAACCAAAAAAGACAAAGTAATGATAGTAATGATAGAGGGGAGACAGATAATATAGTTAAACTAGTTAATCTATGCACCCTTGAATGAAATCTAATTCAAATGTCTCAATGACCAAGTCTCAAACACTATTAACACAAGTATGCTACCCATAGAAATCATACATATGACAATATAATTCCTCAAATAAAAATATATAATTATTTATATTCCTCTGACAGCTGAGCAACCCAACCAGAACACATTTTGTGTGAAAAGTTTCCTTCTCAGAGGGAAAAAATATGTAGAGAAGACATTTCTTGTTTGCTCTCCGACTCAAAGCAGTACTTTCCTGAGTCTATAAGTCTCCAGTATTGTTTGTTCTTGCTCACGCCAAATGATAACTAAAATTTATTTTTATTTCTCCTTCTGTGGGTTTACCCAAACAAATAAAATTATTAAATAATAAACAATTCTGTACCTGTAACTCTTGGTTCTGAAGAATGCATCTTTTTTGGTCTTACTAATATATGAGGTTCATAAGGAAGAAATAATTGAGTACTTTGAGGGATTTTATTCAATACAAGCATATGCTCATCTTTTTCAAAAATTCTAAAGAGAAGAATAGATTATGTTAAATATGAGCTAAGTAAAAATTAACGTATTCTGAAGCTAGAGGGGATATTTAGATACTATGCAGTTAAAATCCTCCACTTTGCAAATAATGAAACTAGTTCCAGAGATTTTTTTTCTAAAGAGAGAGGGGGAGAGAGAGAATTTTTTAATATTTATTTTTTAGTTTTTCGGCGGACACAACATCTTTTGTTTGTATGTGGTGCTAAGGATCGAACCCGGGCCGCACGCATGCCAGGCGAGCACGCTACTGCTTGAGCCACATCCCCAGCCCCAGTTCCAGAGATTTTTAACAGACTTTTGTACAATATTATTAAATTACTTGGTAACAGTGCCAGAGCTAAAACACCTTTCCTGATTAAGTCCAGTAGTCTTCCCAGTATGTCACAATTTTATTTTTAAGATATAATCATTCTTTTTGTTTTGGTACTAGAAATTGAACCAAGGGACACCTAGCAACTGAGCCATATCCCCAGGCCTTTTTATATTTTGAGACAGAGTCTCATTCAGTTGCTTAGGGCCTTCTTAAGTTGCTGAGGCTTCAAACTTGCAAGCCTCCTGCCTCAGCCTCCCAAGTCACTGGGATTACAGATTTGCATCAATGCATCCAGCAAACATAGTCATTTTTAACGACTTTTCAAACATATCAAAAACATCTTAAACCAAAAGTCTAACCATAAAAGTAACATTTTAGATTTCAGAGTACTTTAAACTTTAAAAAGACTGATTTGGAAACAAATCAACTACCATGAATACAGAAATCATTAAAACAGTAGTACATCATAAGTGGGTCTTTTACTGAAAGATAATTTCATTGACTTCTTCCTAAATCAATGAAGTAGAATAAATGCTATCAAAATACACTGATTCTACCTTATCAATTTAGGATACATGCCAAGTTCCCCAGTACCGAACTTTACATATACCATAGTTTTCCCTATACATACATAGACAAATTTAACACCTTTTCCATCTTAACTAGTAAGCACTTATTACACATTGTAGCTTTTTTTCCTCCTGTGGTGGATTTAACCCAGGAGTACTTAATCACTGAGCTACATCTCCATTCCTTTTTATTTATTTTTTAAATTTTGAGACAAGTTATCTCTAAGCTGCTTAGGGCCTAAGTTGCTGAGGCTGGTTTCCAACTTGCAATCCTCCTGTCTTAGTCTCCCAAGGCATGCACCCCCACACTCAGCTGTGGCCTAACTTTTGCAGTGTGAGGTATTATAGCAAATCTACATAAATTTCTTTTTCCTTTTTCACAATTTCATGGACAGATAAATCTAATCATAGATCTTGGCATCCTAAGCATATAACTGGTTTTTTTTTTCCCCTTATGTTAAGAACTTTCACCTTTTCACTTAAATAAAGCATTTTACAGCTTCTATTCGACATATCCAAATTGCCAGCATCATTAATCTTTGACTTTGGGGTCATTTTTAAGTAAAATAAGGGTTACTTGAACACCAGCACCATGATAATATAACATTCAATGGGATAATTGAAATGGCCACTAAGTAACTAACAGGCAGGTCATGTATACATTTTAGACATACTGAACAAAGTGATGATTCACATCCCAGGTACGATAGAGTACAATGGCATGAAATTTCATCAGACTATTCAGAACAGCATGCAATTTAATTGTTTATTTCCAGAATTTTCTATCTAATATTTCTGTATCATGGTTGACTACAGATAATTGAAATCATGGAAAGCAAAACCATGGATAAGGGGGTGCTACTGTATACACTGAGTAAAAAATGACTAAATATTTATATAAGTTCCTCTCAATATACAGAATTTTATGTTAAAACATTGTTGGCAAAGCAAAATTCTGTATCTTTGCCTATTTTTTTCAATCAATTTCACCATAAAACTAAATACATACTGCCATAGATACGATATGTGGGAGTGCAACATGTTGGGGAGGAGGTCAAGCAAATAACAGATCCAAGGAAGTGGGTTCAGGGAAATAAACTCGAGAAGAGTGTGTTGAAAAATCAACACAAAGGCAATGGAGATTGAGGAATGGAAATTTAGAATGAAAAAAGGGCACAGGCAAAAAGAAAAAAAATAGAAAGTAGATCAGAAACAGCAAGAGTAACACATCTATTTTTCTGTAAGAGAAAAATTAATGACTTTTTCTTCATGCCTCCACCACTAAGGTCTATTTTATCAAAAAACAGGACAAAAAAACAAGGAAACATAAGACATCATGGATTAAGTCACAATTATAGGCTCATCTACACTCTCCATGATAAAGAAAGAACTAAACAAGTTGGTGACAAGGTGATAAAAAGGTGGACTGTGTATCAGATGTGCTGTTGCTACCCTCTCTCCCTCTACAATTATAATATCCTCAGCCTCACTAAAGCATACTAAATAATAATAGTTCATAACATTTAAATTAATATTTTTAAAAATATTTTATTTTTTAGTTATAGTTGGATACAATATCTTTTTTTAATTTATTTATTTTTATGTGGTGCTGAGGATCGAACCCAGGGCCCCACACGTGCTAGGTGAGCGCTCCACCACTGAGCCACAACTCCAACCCCTTAAATTAATATTTTTCATAAGAAATTAATAGAAGATAGCCTGCATGACAAAGGTGTAGAAAACATACATTGGAGAAAAGATAGCCTCTTCAACACATGATGCTGGGAAAACTGGAAATCATATGCAGCAAAATGAAATTAAATCCCTCTATCTCATCATGTACAAAACTCAACTCAAAATGGATCAAGGACCTAAGAATTAGACCAGAGACCCTGTGCCTAATACAAGGAAAAGTAGGCCCAAATATTCATCATGTCAGATTAGGTCCTGACTTCCTTGATCAGATTCCTAAAGCACAAGAAATAAAATCAAGAATCAATAAATGGAATGGATTCAAACTAAAAAGCTTCTTCTCATGAGTGGGAGAACATCTTTACTAGACACACATCATATAGAGCACTAACTTCCAGGATATATAAAAAAAACTCAAAAAACTTAACACCAAAAAAAACCCAAATAACCCAATCAACAAACGGGCTATGAAACCGAATAGACACTTCTCAGAAGAAGATATACAATCCATCAACAAATATATGAAAAAATATTCAACATCTCTAGTAATTAGCGAAATGCAAATCAAAACTACTCTAAGATTTCATTTCACTCCATTCCGAATGGCAATAATCAAGTATACAAGCAACAATAAATGCTGGCGAGGATGTGGGGAAAAAGTACGCTGAAAATTGGTGCAATTACTCTGGAAAGCAATATGGAGATTCCTCAGAGAACTACAAATGGAATCACCATTTGACCCAGCTATCCCACTTCTCTGTCTATACCCAAAGGACTTAAGATCAGCATACTATAGTGACACAGCCACATCAATTTTTATAGCAGCTCAATTCACAACAGCAAAACTGTCTGACCTAGATGCCCTTCAATAGATGAACAGATAAAGAAACTGTGGTATATATACACAATGAAATATTACTCAGTATTAAAAGAGAATAAAATTCTGGTATTTGCAGGTAAATGGATGGAGTTGGAGAATATCATGCTAAGCAAAGTAAGCCAATCCCAAAAAACCAAAGGCTGAATGTTTTCTCTGATAAGTGGATGCTGATCCATAATGAGGGGAGGGGGCATGGAAAGAATGAAGGAACTTTGGATTGGGCAAAGGGGAGGGAGGGAAGGAGAACAGGAATGGGGATAGGAAAGATGGTGGAATGAGGACATTATTACCCTAGGTACATATATGACTGCACAAATGGTGTGACTCTACATCATGTACAACCAGAGAAATGAAAAGTTGTGCTCCATTTGTGTACAATGAAACGAAATGCATTCTGCTGTCATGTATAACTAATTAGAACAACAACAAAAAAGAGGATAGAATACAGAATCAAACTTTTAGATGCAGAATCTCTGGTCACATAAAATTCAATTTTAAAATTTACCTATACCTTTCTTTCAATTCCTTTCTCTTTTCTGTACTTTTTTTCTTTTCTTCAAGAGTTTCTGAAAGATTCTTGGTTTCATAAAGTCTTGCAATCAGCTAAAAGAAAAATGGGAAAGGAAAATTAAATAATTACCTGCAAAGAAGAATGTTTTATCTTAATTAATGAATATGATTTTTTTTTCTGTAGAATCACAAGATTTGTATTTTTGGCAGAATTTACTATCTTCTATTGAAAGTCATTAAGAGTTACATCAACATTAAATCACACCCCTTTAACTTTTCCTTACTACTAAATTTTCAATCATAAATATCAATAAATTTCCATTTTTTAAAAGAATAATTATAAGCAAAATAGACATTGAATATTTACATAGGGACATAGTTATCACATATTTTAAAGGAAATAGCATCCATTTTTCTCTCATTATTAAAATTATATTGCTGGGGGGGCTGGGGTTGTGGCTCAGTGGTAGAGTGCTCGCGTAGCATGCATAAGGCACTGGGTTCGATCCTCAGGACCACATAAAAAAATAAAATAAAGTTATTGTGTCCACCTAAAACTAACAAATAAATATTTAGAAAAAAAATAAAACTATATTGCTGTTATTTTGTACCTTATAACTATGAATGATCACTATAAAATCTAATTTTCAAAAAATTTACAAAATTTAATTTTCAATTTTTTCTCAAAATTTATAAAATGATTTTGGTGAGTTCTTGTATCTATGTGAATCAAAACCACAATTCAATGGATGACACTAAAAATATTCAATAAAACCTTAAAAGCTTAACTGTTTCTAGACTGGCTTCCTAAAAATTATAAACTACAGTTGTAAATTTTGCAAGATTAAATTATTTAAACTATTCACTATCTTGTTCACCTTTCTGAAAACACTGTTACTTTTTCAATGCTTTTAAATTCCTGTTACAGGGCCAGAGGTATTAGGCACCAGTGGATCAAACCCAGAGCCTAGTATGCATGAGGCCCTGGGTTTAACCTACTGCACCAATAAGTAAATTCCTCTTAACCTACACCTTAATCCTTCCTCAGGCCCTCCCAAAGCCAACCTATTCCCCCAAATTCAGAGTTAAATAAATTCCACACCTGAAATACATTTTGGCTTCAAAGTGATCTGAAGCTTATCAATTGGCCTTTGTCCACACTGAGGCTATCTTAACAGCTCTTCTAAGGTGTCAACTAACACACTATTATACATTAATACATATTTTAGAAACAATAACAAAATATATACCTTGTTTAATGAATTAATTTCCATTTCTGCTTCATCTGCTTCTTTCTTCAATTCAGATGAACTTTTGGTAAAACTGTTGGCATGTTTCAGGATATCTTGTGTTTTACATCTCAGATTAACTCTTTTTATGTTAAGGAACTATGCTGTGCAAGTAAACCTTACATTTAAAATAAATGTACTATGTCAGAAATAGTTAATATTGTACATGTCATTTATATGTGTGGTATATATAAGCAATAAGCACTTTTAATAACAGTATCTGAAACAGGTAAGATTAATATAAATATTTGGCAGACTAATGAAGATAAGTTAGTATTGATCTATATTAATTTAAAAGTAACATCCATCAAAAATATTTGTTAGAATATTTTCATTCAGTTAAATATTTTCACAAGGTGTTATTTGTTTTTTTTAAAACTAAGTTCACTGTGTCATTGGGATGACTAATAAAATATAATAAATTCAGGTCCCAATTTTAACTTTTTATGCTTCCATCATGTATTATTCCAAAGTCAACATTAAAAATCCACCCAATTTCCCTTTTCTTGCCTTATAAGGTTGATCAATGCACCCTGTAAAACTGAGAACTTTCATCTGGACATTCTGTTTAGAGAGGATTTAGACTCAATTTCAAGTAGAAAATTTATCTGCTATTAATAGACATCCTACATGGTTATTAATTAACACAATTACCTAAGTTCCTTTATTATCTATCTAGAATTTAGAAATGAATAGAAGAATAACAGTGAATAAGAACTCTAGAGAAATTTTATCAGAACTTCCTATCCTGCCTTAAAAATATGTGACTTATATGCTAGAACAAACATTTCAGGTGAATATTATTTATAAAGCTATGTTATTACCAAAAGTCTCAGTTTAAATTTTTAGAAATAAATCCTAATCTTTAATTCTTCCTACCTCCATCTACCTCTTCTTGTTTGTCATGCAACTTTACATCTCATCCCAACTCATATCCAACTCCCTTATACTTTCTGTACTTCACTTACCAACTAAATTCTGCCCTTTCCCACTAAGAAGTTAATGCATAAACAACAAATGTTCATAAAAATATAATAGGCTCAAACCAAAACATGAAGGATAAAAAGCAGCAGAGGAGATAAAAGAACGGTTTAGGATGAAACAGAAAGGAAGCAAGGTAGAATACAGGGATAAAGAAGACTTAGTACAAACATAGGAGTTATAATCTGATAGAAAAGCATATAAAGGATTGTGGAGGTTGAAAGAGGATTAAAGTTTCAAGTTCATCATCAAGAAAGATCTCTCTGACAAATAGGTGAGACTTAGACCAATTAAGAATTACTTAAGCATCTATTACAGTGATACTGTATTAGAATTCTTTGTCTTTCTCCTCTACTAAACTGTGAGCTCCCTGCAAGAGAGCTTTGTAATTTCTTCAGTACTGCCTGACACAAGGTAAGTACCCAATGAATTTTTAAATATTAGTGAATAATTGTTGACTCACTTCCTTACCACCATAATAATAAGAAATAATTAATCAATTTAATCAGAACTTCTTTGATAAGACAAAGCAAGATGACATTTTCATTAGTTTGACTGTTGATATGCCACTTTAAAGCCAAATACACATACTATTTTATTCCCCTTAAAATTACTTGCTTTTGATCACATGTACATGAGAACTAATCCCAAAAGACCTTAAAGTGACCTTTAAAATCTGAATTAAACACAAAAACAAATCTATGAGGCTCTCACCAGGAAAACAAAATAATAATTAAAATACAGAAACAATACTTATCTAATAAAATTATAAATAGAAATACTATTGTGGATACATGTGTAATGTCCACTTGGTAAGTGATGGAAAGGGTGCAGGCACTGAAAAAAAGTCATAGTTGAGACTGATTTATTATATTCTTCTCAGTACAAAGATATAATAATTAAAGCAACATATTACAGAAAGGTTAATACCTAGAAATTCCATAAGAATAGTTTCATTCATTTTTAGTTGTTCAGAACATGCCAACACTCTGTTTTGAATTTCTTCATGTTCTCTTTTCTTCTCATAATATTCACGTGAAAAGGGTGTTTCTGAATATTTTAGTTGGTATTGCTTCAAAACTTCTTTATACTGACATACATAATCATGATACATTTTTCTGTTAAAAATAAAAGAAATGATGTAGAATAGATCTAAAAACCTAATAAATATCACTTGTTAAAGTCTCCTAAATTAAGTATAAAAAGCAATTCAAACATCTATTTGTCTGTATTTCCCTCATTACTGTCTGTCCTTCAACTTTCTTTAACCCCAAGACACTTCTCAGCTACACTTTTTTTATTCCTCACCTGGTTAATCCTCTTCAATTTAACTTCCACTTCCACCAGTATAATGACATTATTCTTTCCATGGTCATCAATGATCTAAATTGTCTAATCAAATGATCTCTTTTTCATGTTCATCCTAACTGACATTGGAGAACTGGGTTCTTTTAGTCACACCTTTTTTTTTCCACATTTTTTATTGGTGCATTACAGTTGTACATAATGATGGGATTTGTTGTTACATATTCATTCATGCACAGGATATAACAATATAATTTGGCCAATATCAGTTATACCTTCTTAAATATCTACGCTCCCTGGGTTCTGACCTCTGTAACTATGCCTTTTAAATCTCCTTTAATTTTCTTCAGCTAAAACTATTACATGAAGTCACGTTCTATGTGTTAAAACTCTGGGTTCATAATCATTCATGTATACCCCACAAGTATTCTTATGAAGAATTTGAGCTGTTTGGAGGAACTCATTTCTATATCAACTCAACTAATAATGGGTGACCATCTATTTAGGCACAAGTCGTAAGTGAGGCATTATTCTTACAAAAGAATATTAAGACTTCTTTCTTATTTGACCCATACAGACAAAGGAGTTGATTACTACTGCCTATGTGCCAAAACTTTGTGATGGGGTGGGGGAGAAGATACTGAGGATTGAATCTAGAGCCTTGCATGTTAAGCAAGTGCTCTACCACTGAGCTACATCCCCAGGCTGCCTATGTGCCAAATCTAATCCATCCTCTGTTGTCTGTGAACTAAGAATGGTTTTTAAATTATTGAAAAAAACTCAAAAGAATACTCTATGACATAATAAAATTATATGAAGTTCAAATTTCACTGTCCAATAAGGTTTTATTGGATCATATCTCATTTATTTATATATGGCCTAAAGCCATCTTGTACCACACAGAAGAGTTGAGCTACAATACTTACTATCTGGTATTTTACAAAAAATGTTTGCCAATCCTGATCTATAACACTGAAAGTACTCAATACAGTTCTTCACAGAAAATATACCCTCAGCCTCAGTGTTAGGGACTGCACCGAGAGCCTCACTCATTGAGCTATACAGCCCCAGTCCTACAGAAAATATATTCCTGAATCCTCTTTTTACCAAATTCTGGTTTCAAAAATAATATTCATAGTAAACTTTTTGAAAATATATAGTCCTTATATTCCTCAAGATTTTATTTCTTGGATCAAGAAATTTCTTAAAAGATGCTATAATGATTGTTCTCCTTAGCAGAGAATAGGAGCAAGTATTTTTAAAACTTCTGGTTTAATAAGTAATGATTAATAAGTACTGGGTCAACAAGTCTGAATTTTAAGAATGGTCTAATTTTTTAGTATTGCTAAACTCTGTCCCCTTTAGCAAGATAAAGCAGTTGAGCCCCAAATAAGTTCCTATTCTTCTAAATGTATATTTATTAATTAAGACCCCACATATAATAACTTGAGAAAATGGTCCAGGGAGAAGAGAAATACCATTGAAAAATTAGGCCTTGGTCATCTGTTTCATATGAGATTAGTATATCATATTCCATCCTGTTCATATTATATAGTCATATCCACTTCTAACATCTTCCATATAGAAACTTTGGCAGAACACAGCATAGCTAAGTCATGATTCAGAAAGTCATTATTATCTAATTTATTCGAGCAGTACTCGTCTTCAGGAATGCTCAGGACAAGAATGGGAGATCAGAAATAAGTAGCTAGTGTCCCTACTTCCTTCCTACTTCCTCAGTACTGATTGTTGAAATGAAGGAAATTATATACTTTTATGAATATGTCAAAATAAATACCACTATTATGTATAACTTAATGCATTAATAAAAACATTAAAATGGGGACTTTTTTGAAAGAATTTACTGAAAATATTACCACACTCCCCAGTTTCCCCTTTATGAAGACCCAGGAGAGAAATTTCTCTCAAGTCTCGGGAAAAACTTCATAACTTATCCTAAGCAAGTAAACTGCTAAGGATTAAAACCAGGGCCTTGAGCATTCTAGGAAAATGTTCTACCATTGAGTCACACCCCCAGCCTCTAATTGAATTTTTTTTAAATGAATACTCTGATCATATTTCTTGATCAATGCCTTGACTACTAAGAATTTCAAAGCCTAATCTGTACTTTTAACAAACAATATTTGGGACCACATGTAGCCTTGATTTTCTTTAAACACTGTGGTATTTTTATACAAATATCTCAAATTCTTTTGGGATTGAAGCAGGATCTATAAATGACAACCTAATAGTCTCCTTCATCTTTTCCACCCTCTGTCTACTCTTTGGATGATAGCATACTTTTGGCTTTCTCCACTTTGCTCCATATATTTTCCTGAGAAACCTCATCTATATACAAGATTTCTAATGCCATTAAGTCCCAATCTTTAACTTTAATTCTAACCTAAGACTCAACTTTGAAAATAATGGATTATAGATTTTACATTGGTAGTTATTTTAGGAGGGTTTTTTGTTTGATATTAGGGACTGAAATCAAGGGTGTTTTACCACTGTGCTTTATCCCCGGCATTATTTATTTATTTACTATTTTTTATTTTTGAGACAGTATCTTGCTAAGTTGCTTAGGGTCTCACTAAGTTGCTACAGTTGCCCTTGAACTTGTGACCCTCCTATCTCAACCTTCAACTTGTTAGGATTATAGGTATGCACCACAAGGCCTTCAACATATGTGTTTCTTAAGTAAAATGTAAAAACTGATAAGTGTTCTCAAATCACTTCAGTTTTTAAAATTAGGTAAAATTTTAATGCTATATATATCATGTTCAAAGTCTCTAACCTTGTTTTATTACATTCATTAATTACATTTAATCCCTAAGATGATGTGATTTTACATGTAGTAAAATAAATTCACATAACTACTGGTATTTCTCCATTAGAATATAACCACTTTACTAAATTAGCAATCTGAAAAACTGAAATTTGACACAAAATACCTTTAAAAAACCAATACCTCAAATTTTTCAAAATGTTTATTCTACAAATAATTATCCTCCTAAATGTTTGCCTACACTGTTTAGTCATAAATACCATTAATTGAAGAACTTTGCTATAAATGCTGCTGATAGATAAATGGTTTGTATCTAAGGCAATATCTCAACATATTCAAGCTTTTACAACAAATATGGAGACCATCAATGATTCAGTCCAAGATATCACATTTACTTAAAAAAATATTCCCTCAGAATACACACTTTCTAAATTTTTCAGTTAACATTTTTACATAGCATGTTCCAGTAATACTAATTTATAGAACTGATACACTTAAGTTAATATAAATACTGTACTTGTCTTTTTCAATGGTTTCTTGATAAATAGTAAATTGGTCCTGCATATAATCTTCATGTTTATGAAAAACATCACATGTTGGCTTCCAGCTATGGAAAAAAGTTATAGTTGTAATTAGCATTTCAGAATGATAAACAAATAAAAAAATTGGCAGAGATAATAAAAAATGAACAAAATCATTTAAAGAGAAATGAATGCGTCTACCTAGAGAAAACAAGTTTACATCAAGAAAACATTCCCTATGCCACAATGAAATCTACTACTCTGTATAATTAATATGAACCAATTTTTAAAATAATAAATACAACAGTATAAAAAAAGAAAAAATTGCATATCCTATCCCCATCACTATCAATATCCACACACTCATATGCTCAAATATTAATATTCATTAATTTTTACATAAAATTTGTTTTTGAGATATGACAGGGAAAGAAGCAAATATAGCATGGCTGAATTATGTATTGCTATGATATTCCATTACACACCCTATAACACTTCATCAGCCCTTCTTTCTCATCATATTTCTAAGGTCTTGGCCAAGAAATTCTTTTTAGTTAGCACTTGGATTAGGGTTAAAGAGTCTTTTTTCTTCCTCTGACACACTGTTATGCCCTCCTAAGTTACAAAGAAAGAAACTAGGCCAAAATAGACTATCAAATCAGATAGAATAAAATGAATATTCACCTTATATATTTTTGTTTTATTATATAACTTGAAAACTATTACCAATATAAAAAAACTAAAATTACTATATATACCATGGCAGCTTCCATTCTAAGTATTGTTTGAATATTTCCTCTATTTTCATTTTTTTTTCCATATTCAAAAAGTACATATGGCCATTTGGAAGCACAGAAGAGTATATATAAGAAACTAACTATCATACATATTCTCAATATTAAATAACTACTATGATTTTAAAATTGTTTTGAGATTTTGCTACAATTATATATTTTAACATTACTGAGATCATATTCACATAAAATTAATCCTTCTTTATCACTTACTGAAATTATACTTAAAAATTTGTCTTAATTTCTTTTCTTTCTTTCATTTTTTTTTTTTTTTTTATGGTGCTGGGGATTGAACCCAGGGGCCTTGTGCATTCCAGGCGAGCACTCTACCAACTGAGCTATATCCCCAACCCCTTAATTTCTGATACTTAAAATATATTCCCCAAAAGGAAATTTGAAGGTCTAAGATTATACATGCATATATTCTGAGTATTTGAAAATTCCATAAGAAACATATGCTTACTGAGAAGATATTCACTATAAGCTTTTCAATGTGCATCCTTTGAGGTTTTTCTTAGATATAGATATATTATCATGCATTGGGTTCATATTATGAATAATGATGCATAAACTGCTTTATTCAATTTGCAATATACTATTAACATTTTCCCATGTCAAACATACACCTATGTCATGATTTTAGTGGCTGCCTAGTGTTCAGTCATATGGATATACCAAAATTCATTTAACCAGTCCCCTTATGTTGAACATTTAGAGTTACTTCCAATGTTTTCCTATCATAAAAATGGTTGAAGTAGAAGTCACACAATTCAATGGCAAGAAAAGAAATAACTTGATTAGAAATTGGACAAAAGACCTGGAGAGACATTTCTCAAAAGAAGTCTTTTATCTTGAAAAGTTTTAGGTTGGATTCCCTTATACAAACTAAGATCTTAAGCCAGAGTGTAGCTCAGTGGTACTTGTCTATCATGTATCAAGGTAGCACTTGCCTATCATGAATAAGGCCCTGGATTTGATTCCCAGCACCTCATAAAGAAAAACACTAAGATCTTGAAAAGTCAAAAAAATGGAAATTATTTCAGTCTAACAGGACTTACATAGACTACACTAAAATTCTTTATTTATACTAACTATATCTAAATTAGTGAAATCTCTTAATTCAGCACTTAGGGCAATGGTAGAGAACATGCTTAGCATGTACAAGGAAGACCCTGAGTTCAACCCCCAATACCAAAAAACCAAACCAAAACAAAACAAAATAAGCAATGGTGTCTTCAACTATAAACCTAGAAATCTTGAATAAAAAAAGTCAAATGACAATTACTGAAGGTTCATTTCTTTCAAATACTCACTTACTACAGTTGTCTTTGATTTCATTACTATGTTTACAGTAATGAGCAATTTCCTCATCTGTTGTATTTATACTTTCATGTATCTTACAAATAGTTGATTTGTTTTCTTTTATGTCTTCAAAGCATTCTAAAAGAGGAAATGTTTATTTTCTTAAGGTAGAAATTATAAATTCAAAATAAACAAATACAGTAAGAAAAAACAGTTTATGGCAACTTACCTAAAAAGAAGACAGCCAGAAAGGAGAGGAAGTGAGGCTTGAGAAGGGAAGGCTCCTGTACTAAAAAGTAGAAAACCACAGCCCCCCAGAAACTAAGGAGGATTTGTATTTGCAATTGAAGAATGTCCCCTGGGCTAGATTAGGTGACACTTAAGGTCAATTCATCTTATGATGCTACAAATTCATGCAAATGTTTACTCATTAATTATATTAACATAAGGATTGTTATTGACAAATACATAATTTCTATCAATTAATTATTAAATACACCATCAACTAACTTATTTACCAATGATTTAAGATAAACTTAGTTCTTGAAAATATTAAACAATTTCATAATACTTTATTTTTTGATTGTAGAAAAAATAACCAAATTCAATCTTTCTGTGACAATTAAGAAGCTGATAGTTATATTTTTAGAACTAAAATATTTAAAACATTATATTTATTTAATTTGCCCAGCCACTTCACTTATATTTACTAGCCAATTCACTTATTTCAGAACTATTATTCCTGAAAATATGGCATCAATCCTGGTTCCTAATTTTTGATGATTTCTTTAAAGAGAAACATTTCACTCAAATATTTGAAGTAACCTTGTTATTTGAGAAATATAACATTTTTTAAACTGCACCTTAGGGGTCATTGCTGCTTAAAGCAAAATTCTTCACAAAATTATTAAATGCAGAATACACAAAATTACTGAAAAACAGTAGGTGAATCACAACTATTTTGCCTAGGCTAAAAAGCTCATTATTAGTAGAGAATTTCCACAAGAGTTACAATGCCAACTACAAGTTGCTTCCTAAACAGGGCAATTATATATTATGCTATATGTCATAAAAAAATTAAGACAAAAACATCTTTAACATGCAAAACTACTTACTATTAATTCTTTGAATCATGTCTTCTTTAGTACTTATATCTTGCTCATACTGGAAAACTAAAACAATTCTCTTGTGACTTTACTTCATTGTTAAAATGTCGAATAATAATACAGTTACCTATTTCTTTATTTTCACTTTATACCTACCAAATTCTAACAAAAGTCTGTCCAGACTGACAAAGAGGCTGTCATTCATCTTGGATACTATGTAAAGAAAATAAAAATAAGTGAATATACACATGAATATAGACATGTGCATATTCATGTGTATATGAAATATACACATGAATATAAAATGAAAATACACATGTATATTCAGTAACAACTTTTTAAATATAACATTCTCACAGAAAAATGTGGATGGAGCAAGACAGAGGGTAAGAGACGTTTTCAGGCCACAGCCGCCTCCTGGTAGAGCCCTAAGAGACACTTAGGCAGCTGCTGAACGTCGTTGCATGACTGAGACTAGGGGCAAGGGTGGGCGCCTTCATAACTGTTTACTCCTGGTTCTGCAGTAGGTCTTTGAATCTGCGGGGATCCAGACACCTAGACTTCTCAAAAGGGCGTGCCCTGTAAAATAAATATCTGAATATGTCCCTCCTTGGCGTGTGTACTGCCCCGCGCAGTGAAAGTCCTTCACCAACAGCAAGGTGAAACCTAGAAAGTGATGCCGGTTTACATTTATCAATTTGCCCCCCAATAATAAAGAAAAAAAGAAGAATTTTTTCACAGGAGAGCCAACTCGCTGTACGGAACACGCCAGAGGCGGGGTTCGCAGCTCCGGCTCCCCGTAGACCCGAGGGGCGCCTCGCAGCGGACACTTGCGGCGGGAATTCGCTGGCCCGCCCTCCCCTCAGGCAGCGCTGCTGGCCTCTGCCCACCACACGCCAACCACGACGCCGCTCGTCAAGCGCCCGCCACGGGATGAGGCGGCAGGTCGCGGGTAGTTCTCCGGAGTAGGGCCAGGCAGCCACTCCCGCCGCTTTCCTCAGAAACCACCACACACGGTTCGTTTTCCCACCCACCTAAACGGCCCCTCGAAACCCCGACGTCCATACCCTCTTTCCTTAGGGTCCCAAACTCCACTTAGGGCCCGGGTCGTCAGGAACGTGACCCCAAACCTAACTCGAAGGTCTGGAGCCCCGTCCTGCCCTCGCCCCCTGGCGTCAGCGTGGGTAGACCCCGCGGAGCACGCAGCAAGAAGCAGATCACGTGGAAGAGCGAGATCCCGCTCCCGGCGAGAACAGGGTGGCGATCGCGCCATCCCGGGCGCGTAAGAGTTAGAACCACAGGAGTGAATGCTGGGTGAGACAGGACTCAAAAAAACACAGGGGGTCTGTCGTGAACTCTCTGGCTGCCTGGCAACCTAGTGTTAACTTCAAAGACTATCCAGCCCTCTTCTAACATAATAGCTTTAGACAAAAATTGGAGAATAGCAATAAAATTAATTTTAACATGACAGTAAGAAACTCATCAATCAGAATTCAGTTTTGAACTCAGCATTTTGCTTCTTTGAAAAGCATAATTCAAACACGTTTTAGTAAACATTTTATGACTACCTCATTTGTTGTTGCAAATAAAGCATATTTTCTGCCTAAAACTGTCACCACTAGGTAATTTGTGTTTTAGATTTTGCATGTCGAAGTGAAGAATGAAGAAAAAATAATGTAAACAATTTGCCTCAATCCATTGTTGTTGTTCTGGGAACTGAACCCATGGCCTCAAGTATGCTAAGCACGCTCTCTACCACTGCTCTGTATCCCTCTTGAATCTTTTATTCCTGGTGAACATGTGAAATAATATCAATAATTGCCTTAAGCCGACACATACTAAATCATTTCATAGATTAAAATGAAAAACAAGCTTTTCTTAAATACATACCATATGTATATTTTATTATAATGTGTTGTAATGTTGATCACTAGTATTAATGATAGTGAACCATCAAAGCTAATTTAGGTTCTGATGATTTAAGAACTTACCATATTTATTTGTGTGTGAGAAAGAAAACCTTTATTATTTTCCAGCATTATTGAGGTATAATTAACAAAAAATATTGTATATACTTACAGAATATAACATAGTATTTTGATATGTACATTATTGAAATAGTCTGTTTTCTGTTGCTATTAAAACATGACACAAAAAAAACTGGAGAAGTTATGGTTGGTTTATTTTTGCTTACAGATCTCTCCAAGATTGAGGGGCCACATCTGAGGAAAGCCTTCTTGGTGGCAAAAAGTCCTGAGGCAGCGCAAGGTATCATATAGCAAGAGGCAGGGAGTGCCCACATGTATGATTGTCTCTTCTGGTCTCACAACCTCTTCTTAAACAGCACCAGGAGTCAGTCATGGAGGCACTATTCCTACGAATTTATCTAATCCTAATTACTTTCCAAAGGCCCCACCTATGGACTCTGTACTTGAATTGTTCCACCCTGTTAGTATCTCACAATGGGGAGTAAATTTCAACCCATGAAGCCTTGGGGAACACCCTCAAACCATATCCAAGCCATAGCAATTATGAAATAATTATCACAATCAAATTAATTTGTATAACATATTCACCACTTCATATAGTTATCATTTGTGTGTGTGGCATGAACATTTAAGATCTACTCTCTTAGCAAATATCAAGTATACAATTCAGTGTAATTAACTATAGTCAGCATGCTACACCATAACTTTTCATCTGCCTAACTCAAACTTCATACCCTTTGACTAAAATCTCCCCATTCCCACTTTCCACTTCCCCTCCCACTGGCAACCATCATTCCACTCTACTTTTATGAATTCAGGTTGAACTTGACCCAAATCCAAAATTATATCTTCCTCTCTAATATTCCTGTCTGTCTGACACTGCCTAAGAATCAACACATGAAAATTGTTATCTTATGTGATTATCCTCATCTCTTATAAATAATTATTCACAAGACATTGATTTTTTTCCTTTGATATATTCTTTGTATGCATTCAATCCACTCTACACAGTCTTTGTAGTCAAACAGATATGATTGTAACTATTGGTTCTATCATTTGTTAGGTCAAAACTTGCCGCAGTCTGGCTGGGCACAAATGCCGCAGTCTGGCTGGGCACACAATCACGAGCCACCACACAGCTTGTAGATTCAAACAGCAACTCTTTATTCCCGAACTCACACCAGCCGTCTACAATCACGTTCTGGGGAAATCCACGTTCTCTGCCCAAATCCACCTCCACTGGGCATCTGTCTTCCAAAAAATACTGTCTGAATCCCGTGAGAACTCAAGGGGAACTCAGGCAGCAGGATACGCCCTATTCCCAGCAGGAATAATCTTAAACCTTAAACCTGGAACCTAAACCGGGAACGCCCTAATCCTCCTTGGTCCTTGAGCAAGGTCACCTACATTCAATGTCACTGCAACATGGGGTACGCTGGCAAGGAAATTGTCATACCCACTTGGCTAATGGCTCCCAGCAAAAACTGTGAGTAAGTTTCTAACCTAAGCTTCAGTTTTCTCAAAAGCAAAATGAGAATTGTTACGATAGGATAGTTTGAAAATTAAATTATTTCTATAAAGCCCCTAATGTAATGCCCAACTGTAATGACCAACACTCGGTATATAGAAAATTAAAAAGCCATCAGAACAAAATTCTTCAAATTTCATGTGGTCATATTTCATATGATCCCACTTACATTTTCATTGTAGAGGAGGAACAGTTTATTTGGGGGCTCACAGTGTCAGAGGTCTCAATCCACAGACTGCAAGCTCCATTCCTCAAAATTTAATGTGAGGCTGAATATCATGGTGGAACAATGTGGGGGGAGGAAGGCAGCTCATAGGATGATCAGGAAGCAGAGAGAGATTCCACTTGCCAGATATCAGATATATACCCCAAAGGCAGCCCCCAATGACCCACCTCCTCCAGCCACAGTTAATTCCATCAGGGGATCCATTCATTGATTGGGTTAAGGCTGTCATAACCCAATCATTTCTCCTCTAAATCTTCTTGCTTTGTCCCACATGAGCTTTTGGGTGACACCTCACATTCAAAGCATAACAGAAGCTTTCTCGTCTCTTCCATAAAGCCATTTCCTCTGCATCCTGAGTATCATCTCCTTTCACCTCCTCAGAAATGTTAAAATATCAAGTATTCCTTTCCTCTTAGGTGTATTCATCCTTTTACATTCAGTTAGCTCTTGACCATAAGTTTTTAACTTGGTGAAATCTCTACCAGTAGAAAGAAAAGAGTGCTGAGAGCCACAGCTGAGTCGGAATGGCCCCTGGCATTTTGCCAATAGTATTGGTTGACAGACGAGGCATTACTATCCGCCTCCCCTGCTACTTTGGAGTTCTGGTGGGGATTCCCGGGGATTCCCGGAGAGTTCCCATTGGTTGGGGAAGTGCAGGAGGAGGGATTTCCGGAGGAGTTCGGGAGGAGTTCCCGGGAGCGTGTGTGGAGCGTGCTGGTGGAGTTCAGAAATAAAGTTTGTTCCTGCTTCAGTGGCTCGTGATTTGTGCCCAGCCAGACTTTGGCAAAAGAGGGCAGGAAGAGAGAGAAAGAAAGGGAGGGAAGAAAAGAGGGAAGAGGAAGGGAGGAAGGGAGGAAGGAATCAATCTTTCCTAGACACTAAAAATCTCTATTCGTCAACATATTTCTCTCATCCCTCCGATCTGGTAATGCTAACCAGAATTCAAGTTAGTTCCACTGGAGCCATGGGTATCCACCTGGCACTGGAACAAGTCCAGAGGCTCTATCCAGGGGCACTTCCCTGGAAACAGGGGACACTGGAATCTACCAGATGTAGGGTTATACTGACCTGATGCTTAATTCCAAGACAAAATCCTATACTTACCTCTCCTCTTTCCCAGCAGATGGAGTCTTTCTCTACTCTGTGCTGCCCAAGGTTGTGGCAAGGAAAGGTGGAGGCAGACCCATGGTGGTCAGTCTAGAGTGGGTTCAGAGGCTCCATTCATAGGCACTGGCCTGGGTGTAAGAGTATGGAGCTCTGGTTGGTACTGGGTTTCACTGTGGTAAGCCAGGATTACAATTCTTAGGCTGGATTGTTCCTCCCCAAGAAGAACGCATCTTTCTCTATGCTGCTCTGCTTGGAGTTGGGGGAAAGGTAACAGGAACAACTCTGCTTCTGTCCTTCTTTGATAATTCTTTCATTATTATGCTACCATCTGTACTGCTTTCCTTAGCTCTTGTGAAGGTTATTTCTGAGCATAAGTTGGTGTTCAAATTGATATTTCTGTGGGAAGAGGATTGCTGGAAGGTCTCATTCCATCACCATCTTACTCTGCTTCTAGCCAACCTGATTTCTAAACAAGTGCCCAAACTCCTACCACATTTCTCAATTTACTTCAATCTGCCTTCCAACCTCATTACACAATAAAATTTGCTCTTGTTAAGGATGACAATGATCTCATGTTATTAAACCCAATGAACATGTTTTAGTCCTTATCTGACCTTACCTCTCCACAGCATTCAACAGTATCACTCCTTAAAACACAAGTTTACCTGATTTTTCTCCTATCTACAGAAATTTCTCTATCACTTCCTTCAGGCTCATCTCCTCCTACTCAGCCATTAAATGTTATAAATTTCTCAGGTTCAATCCTAGTCTCTTCTCATTTTGTATTTCATGTACAAGTTTCCAATACAACCATTACATAGATGACTCACAAATGTGTATCTATAACTCAGACCTCTAGTACCAATCCAAGTTGGTTATTGCAAACAACTTTTTTTTCTTTTCTTTCTTTCTTTTTTTTTTTTGGTACTGGGAATTGAACTCAGGGCCACTTAACCACGGAGCCACATCCCCAGCCCTTTGTTGTATTTTATTTAGAAACAGGGTCTCACTGAGTTGCTTAGTGCCTCGCCATTGCTGAGGCTGGCATTGAATTCATAATCCTCCTGCCTCAGCCTCCTGAGCTGCTGGGATTACAGGCATGTGCCACCATGCCCAGCTGCAAACAACTTTCACTTCAAAGTTAGTTTATTCTGGCCAACTTAAGCAAAGGTAGAATTTGTTAAAAGATATGGTGTGTTGCA